GCAAATGGAAGTAATCAGGAAGTTAAGGAGCTGAATTGAAAGTTTCAAAGGGCAGCTGGAGAAAACAATGAAAAATGATATGATGAAATGTGCAAAGACCTAGCATTTAGAAAACCAAAAAAGAAGAACACAGTCAACGTACCTTAAAGAGAGAACTGAACAAAAATTCAGGCCTTGCATTGCAATATTGGGACTGTGGGCGCAGTACTGGAAGATGCAGGAAGCGTCAAGAGGATGAAAAGAATACGCAGAATCCCTGTACCAAAGAGAACTGGTCTTGTCGTGGGATGTGGTTATGGCAGAACACTAAAGCAAGTGGCTTCCCCAGCTGGCGCCAGTTTTTCTACTCATGAGCACTGTCATTCATTCTCCCAAAATGTTGAGATCCAGTGCTTCATCTTCACAGAGGTGAAGCCTGCTTCCTCGAATACAGTTAATCGATCCACACAGTGTACTTTAGTAAACCACTTCTGATTACACATGAATTACTTGTGAATGGAATGTTGGCCTTTTGTTGACTTTTAAATAATATGACTGCTTTTTATTTAACATTTTAAAGCACCCATTCATTGGCTTCAAGTTGATTCCAACTCCTCATGACTTACAGAACAGAGTAAAACTGCCCCATAGAGTTTCTAAGGTGGCAGTTTTTCCAGAGCAGACTGCCACATCTTTCTCTAATCATGAGTGGCTCCTGGGTTTGAACTAGCAACCTTTTGGTTCCCAGCCAAGAACTTAGCCGTTTTGTCTCCATGGCTTCATATGACCTGGCACTCACTCACTGCCATTGAGTCAGAAGCCCCCTGTGGGTTTCTGAGACTGTACCTGTTTACAAGAGTAGAAAGCCCAGCCTTTCTCCTGAGGAGCTGCTGGTGGTTTTGAACTGCCAACCAGGTGGATCGCAGCCCAACATGTAACCGCTACACCACCAGGGCTAAGTTAAATGTGTGGGATCCTCTCGATTAACTTAATATTCAGTCAAGTTTCCTTTTGGAAGTCCTCCTTCTTCTCCTCCCTAAACAAAAGAAATTGTACTTTAAAGATAACTTATTTGATAAAATATTTCGTTGTATGGTTGGTAAGTAAGAAAGTATTTTTGTACACTTCAATAACTATAAACTAAGTGTGAAGTTAAAATTACTCATCTACATGTTTGTATTCGTTTGTTTGTTTATAGGACTTGACTCTTAAAACCGTGCCTTTTTAGTAAGATATTTTGTTTAATTCTCTGCGAATTTTGGCAAGGCATTCCACGTGTTTTAAAGTGCTTTGTGATAACTTTAATTCTAGCTAGAGTTTTATGTTAGTTAAAGAAACCTGCATTTTTTTTAAAAGGCTTTTGTTTTACTCCGATTTTCCCCTTAGTGGGAAAATGTCGCCTTTGTGATCAGAAAGAAAACTATGGAAACCTAGAGCTATTGTGGCTCCTTCATTGCACCGTTGACATGTTTATGCCTACACATTCCTCAGGGTCCCTGGGTGACACAAACCTAAAGCCCAAAGTGTGCTGGCTTCAAGCCCACCAGGAGTCACCTGGACCACATCCCATCCCGCCTCCAAGGCCTGTTTCTGTTGGAGGCCCATTTCCTGCTGCTCCATTTGCCAGTTCCCACAGCCAAGTGCCCCATCATTTCCCCCTCGGTGATCTTCCTCTCCCTCTGGCCTCGTCTTCTATACTCGCTCCTTTAGGCCTTTTCCCAAGCAATTTTTTCTCCCAGCTAATTCCATGCTGCCACTGTTTTCATCAAAAGTCTATAATGGTGGTCCATTACCATCTGTGGTACTCAAAATTCCATGACCATTTATCAGGCTACCCTCATCTCCTTACCATCCGCCCACCTGACAACATCCATCTATATCATGCAGCAGAGGTTTCCATGGTGACGTACCATTTATTGCAGCTCGTTTTTCACTACCCCCATACACCTTCCTCTTGTCCTTGTCGCAGATCTTACAGGATTCCCCCAAAGATTTTTACCTACGTGGGTTTTTCTCTTCAGTGCAACTTATATCCACAGCTTCTCTGGTTTTAAGATGTATGGTTCTAAGATGATTTTTGCTGTTTTAAAAAAGGTTCCGTTTATTGTTTCTTCTGTAAGTAAAGGTCTGGTGTATGCCTTTTGATTTTATCCACATGATATAATATTAAAGCTTTTTCTTTTCCTTCTGGGTTTAATTTAAACTGAATCCTTAAATTTTGATCCTTTAATTTTGTATGGTTACAACATTATTCTGCATCTTTCAGAAACAAGTGTATGCCTCTTGGTAGACCACAAGATAGGTGCTCAATGAGTGTACCCTAATGAGATGAGCCTTACTGAATATACACCTGATTTGCCCTTTTCTCGCTTTTAAACAGTGTGTGAACTTTACTAATATGTGTAATTATTGAGCATTTTCTTAGTAATGTATATGTACACAGGGACACATGTAAACAAAGGGTAGCTGAACCCAGAAAGATTATGATCTTGATCATTGGCTCTGTAACTTTTCACAAATTATTTAACCTGAGGGTCACTGACCTTCAGTTTGTGAATCTATGAAATCCTGATGGTAACGAAATCCAGGAACAGGATTGG